CTTATTGGGCCATACGGGAAAGAAGGAAAAGGGCCTGAAGGGTGGCCGCACCCCTCCCCTTGGTCTGGTCCGAATTGGACTAGGGAAGGGGGCGCCCCCTTCCTTCCTTCTCCTTTTCTCTTCCTCTTTTCCTATTCCATATGGGAGGTGGAATCCTACTAGGACTAGGGAGTCCTAGTAGGACTCCACACTTGGCGCGCCCCCTCCTAGGGCCGGCCTCCTCCTCCCTTTCTCCTTTATATACGGGTGCAGGGGGCACCCCAAAGACAACAATTGATCCTTGAGATCTATTAGCCGTGTGCGGTGCCCTCCTCCAACATAAACCTCGATAATATTATAGCGGTGCTTAGGCGAAGCCCTGCGACGGTAGAAGATCAAGATCGTCACCACGCTGTCGTGCTGACGGAACTCTTCCCCGACATTCTGCAGGATCGGAGTCCGGGGATCGTCATCGAGCTGAACGTGTGCTAAAACTCAGAGGTGCCGTAGTTTCGGTGCTTGATCGGTCGGGCCGTGAAGACGTACGACTACATCAACCGCGTTGTGCTAACGCTTCCGCTTCCGGTCTACGAGGGTACGTAGACAACACTCTCCCCTCTCGTTGCTATGCATCACCATGATCTTGCGTGTGCGTAGGATTTTTTTTGAAATTACTATGTTCCCCAACAGTGGCATCCGAGCCTAGGTTTTATGTGTTGATGTTATATGCACGAGTAGAACACAAGTGAGTTGTGGGCGATATAAGTCATACTGCTTACCAGCATGTCATACTTTGGTTTGGCGGTATTGTTGGATGAAGCGGCCCGGACCGACATTACGCGTACGCTTACGCGAGACTGGTTCTACCGACGTGCTTTGCACACAGGTGGCTGGCGGGTGTCAGTTTCTCTAACTTTAGTTGAACCAAGTGTGGCTACGCCCGGTCCTTGCGAAGGTTAAAATAGCACCAACTTGACAAACTATCGTTGTGGTTTTGATGCGTAGGTAAGAACGGTTCTTGCTAAGCCCGTAGCAGCCACGTAAAACTTGCAACAACAAAGTAGAGGACGTCTAAATTGTTTTTGCAGGGCATGTTGTGATGTGATATGGTCAAGACATGATGCTAAATTTTATTGTATGATATGATCATGTTTTGTAACCGAGTTATCGGCAACTGGCAGGAGCCATATGGTTGTTGCTTTATTGTATGCAATGCAATTGCGCTGTAATGCTTTACTTTATCACTAAGCGGTAGCGATAGTCGTGGAAGCATAAGATTGGTGAGACGACAACGATGCTACGATGGAGATCAAGGTGTCGCGCCGGTGACGATGGTGATCATGACGGTGCTTCGGAGATGGAGATCACAAGCACAAGATGATGATGGCCATATCATATCACTTATATTGATTGCATGTGATGTTTATCTTTTATGCATCTTATCTTGCTTTGATTGACGGTAGCATTATAAGATGATCTCTCACTAAATTTCAAGATAAAAGTGTTCTCCCTGAGTATGCACCATTGCCAAAGTTCGTCGTGCCCAGACACCACGTGATGATCGGGTGTGATAAGCTCTACATCCATCTACAACGGGTGCATGCCAGTTTTTGCACACGCAGAATACTTAGGTTAAACTTGACGAGCCTAGCATATGCAGATATGGCCTGGGAACACTGAGACCGAAAGGTCGAGCGTGAATCATATAGTAGATATGATCAACATATTGATGTTCACCATTGAAAGCTACTCCATTTCACGTGATGATCGGTTATGGTTTAGTTGATTTGGATCACGTGATCACTTAGAAGATTAGAGGGATGTCTTTCTAAGTGGGAGTTCTTAAGTAATATGATTAATTGAACTTTAATTTATCATGAACTTAGTCCTGGTAGTATTAGCATATATATGTTGTAGATCAATAGCTCGCGTTTAGCTCCCCTGTTTTATTTTTGATATGTTCCTAGAGAAAACTAAGTTGAAAGATGTTAGTAGCAATGATGCGGATTGGATCCGTGATCTGAGGTTTATCCTCATTGTTGCACAGAAGAATTATGTTCTTAATGCACCGCTAGGTGGCAGACCTATTGCAGGAGCAGATGCAGACGTCATGAACGTTTGGCTAGCTCAATATGATGACTACTTGATAGTTTAGTGCACCATGCTTAACAACTTAGAATCGGGACTTCAAAGACGTTTTGAACGTCATGGATCGTATGGATGTTCCAGGAGTTGAAGTTAATATTTCAAGCGAATACCCGAGTTGAGAGATATGAAGTCTCCAACAAGTTCTATAGCTAAAAGATGGAGGAGAATAGCTCAAGCAGTGAGCATGTGCTCAGATTGTCTGGGTACTACAATCGCTTGAATCAAGTGGGAGTTAGTCTTCCAGATAAAATAGTGATTGACAGAATTCTCTAGTCACCACCACCAAGGTAGTAGAACTTCGTGATGAACTATGATATGCAAGGGATTACGGAAACGATTCCCAAGCTCTTCGTGATGCTGAAATCGACGACGGTAGAAATCAAGAAAAATATCAAGTGTTGATGGTAGACAAGACCACTAGTTTCAAGAAAAGGGCAAAGAAAAGAAGGGGAACTTCAAGAAGAACGGCAAGCAAATTGCTGCTCAAGTGAAGAAGCCCAAGTCTGGTCCTAAGCCTGAGACTAAGTGCTTCTACTGCAAAGGGACTGATCACTGGAAGCGGAACTGCCCCAAGTATTTGGCGGATAAGAAGGATATATAGCCTCCACACAAAATCTAACCGTTACACACAATTTACCAAACTCGGTGGGACCGAATCATGAAACTTGGTCGGACCAATTTAGTTCAAAATATGAACGTTAGGATTTTCGGTAGGACCGACACGTCAACTCGGTGGGCCGATGTCATTAGGGTTAGTGCATAACGTAATCTCGGTGAGACCGATTACACAAACTCGGTTGGACCGATTTTGGTAATAGACAAACAGAGAGTTGGTCAGGCAATCTCGGTGGGACCGATTCGCTCTTTCGGTAGGACCGAAACGTTACGAAAGGAAAACAAAGAGTTTGCACTGCAATCTCGGTGGGACCGATCGCTCATCTCGGTTGGACCGAAACGTTACGAAGGGATACCGAGAGATTACAATCCCATCTCGGTGAGACCGAGGTCCCTATCGGTGAGACCGAAAAGACTAGGGTTTCTGGCAGTGGCTATGTCAAGAGAACTCGGTGGCACCGGATAGAGAATTTTGGTGGGGCCGAGTTTAACTTTTGGTTTGGGACATATGTGGATATGAGAAAGTAGTTGAAGGCTTTGGAGCATATCACTAAGCATTTTGAGCAAGAAACTCATTAAGCAATACCTCACCCCCTTTTGATAGTATTGGCTTTTCCTATGGAGTCAATGTGATCTTGGATCACTAAAATGAGAAATGTAGAGTCTTGTGCTTTGAGCTTGACCCAATCCTTTTATCCTTAGCATTGTGAGGGGTCCACTTTCTAATCCATGCCATGTCAATCATTGAGCTTTCCTGAAATATTTATCTTGAAATAGCATTAGATCAATAAGCTATATGTTGTTAGAAATTACCAAAACCACCCAGGGATAATTGCACCTTCACTGCCCACCATCGGCGCCCCGTTGGTGGACGCCAACTATTACGCCTGCCGGCGCTGGAAGTACGACGCCCACGATGCGTGGTTGTCAGCGGCGTATTCGGGAAGGGCGCGCTGCTCCTTCGGCAGGGACGCCCTCACACGATCGACCTCCGCGGCGAAGATGCCGGGGCGCGCGTCGAGTTCAGGCACCGACGGGATGGGGACGCCCCCGTTGCTGAGCCTCCACCTCGTCGGCCCGGCGCGCATGTCCCGCGGCGCCGGGATGTTGGCCTCGAACAGGAGGTGCACCTCCCACTCGTGGAGCGAGCGGCGGCCGAAGTCGTTGGCCGCCGCCGCGTCGCCGGGGAAGCGTTCGACCATCACTGAGAAGGAAGGGAAGGGAAGATAGGCTGGGCTCGGCGACGGACGGGAAAGAGGCAGAGCTCGGCGACTGTTTTGGACTCGGGCTGATGTGGCCAGCGGTGAGGGGGAGCCGCGGGTTTTATCGCCCCACATCGTGTGTACGCGTGTCGGAAGGGGAGGCGTCGCCGCGCCCGCCCGCCCGTGACGCGCCGCCATGAAGAATCAATGGCAAGGCTGACCGGCGGCAGCTCTGCCATTGATTCTTCGCAGGAAACCGAGGTGTTTTGGGGAAGATGAGGCGCGTGTCGCTGACTCGGCGGACCCGCGTCTCTTTCGCGCAAAACCGCTCGCCCTGGCGCCCCGGGCGTCCCCCAGCGCGTCGGGTTCGGCCTGGGACCGCCGGCGCCAGTTTCGGCCCAAACCAACGAAGAAGGGGTTCCTGGAGGCGCGATTAAGCCGATTTTTGAGCGTCAGCGTGAAAAAAACGCCTGAGGAGGGTCGATTAAAGCCGCGGCTGGAGATGCTATAAAGCACGACTGGAAGTGGGCGTGCTCCTTTACAGCTTAAAATCTGTGATCACCAATCCTTTTTCTAATAATCTAAAAAGAAAAGATTATCACCCGTTTAACTTATCGAAACTGCTGAGCAGACGATTCAGTCTGCACGACAACCAAACGACGGCAAATCCAACCGTCCACTGTACTTGGATGATATGAATGGACGAAGTGATATACGATGTTGTGCAGAATGAACTTATACACAGTTTAAAATTTACTAAAAACCAATAAATTTTGTAGCTGTAAATGTTACTTCCTCTGTAAAGAAATATAAAAGCGTGTACGGAGGAAGTAGCAAACGAAAATATTCGATAGCCAGTTTTTACTCCCTCTGTCGAGGGTAATATGGACTTTTCTCTCTTCTCATCCTCCGCGTCCAGCTTCGAGCGTCTCTTCCAGTTTCAGCTTCGAGAAAGCTCGCCGCTCGCCGCCACGCCGGGAAGGAATCGCCCCAAAAAGCCCGCGCGCACCGGAGGGTCAGCGCACGAGAAGCGGGAGCAGCCACCACTCGCCGGCGATGGAGAGGGTCGTGGTGGTCTCCGAGGACGCCGCCGCCTCGGTCTCCTCCGGCCCGTCCTCCTCCTTCGCGGAAACCAGGGTCATCTGCCGCGTGTGCGTCCTCACCGCCCCCCGCTCCCTCCCTACGTTTTTCTCTCCTCTGGCTTGTCTAATCCTGATGATTGACATTCGCGCGTCTGGTGTTTGTGCAGATGTCAGAAGCAGTTCGCGCAGTACACTTGTCCACGCTGCAACTCCCGCTACTGCTCGCTTACGTGCTACAAGGTGTGTCCTTCTCCCCCTTCCTTGTTTCTCTCTGCGCGTTATCTGCCTGAAAGTTTGTGGCACAGCGCTGGAAGTTTAACGATCTCTCATTTGGTTATGCCCACGCGGTGTTCGTCGAATTGCCGCAGTGGAGCTGTAAACTTTTGTCGGAAACGGTATTCAGAGTATACACTTTTCTGACAACTTCCTTGTTGCTTTTCATACTGCATGCAGCTGTTTCGTTGCAAAACAGGCTAAAACGAAAATGTGGGGACATAGTTAGCTTTTGAGTGTTTATCTAGGAATTGCCTCTTTGCGTCAGTCTGATGTGAATTTCTGAAAAAGGTCGCAATGCGTCATGCTACACCAATAATAATGGCGCCATGCTGGATTTTAGTAACGTGCATGTATTTATAAGATTACTAGAGCAAACCAATTGAAAGGACGGAAGTAACTATGCACTTTCCCTGTTTTTGTGTCATAGGTTATTTGAGATACATGGAAACATAGTTCGGATCTGTTAACATTTCGATGGGATGCAGTGGTGGAGCCAGCACCTGGCGAGCCTGGGTTCCCACAGTGCATCTCCTTCATACTCTATTAGAGAAAGTAAGTTCAGTTAAGAGTTAATCCGGGCAAAATCTTATCAACTTTCGCTGCACATATGTCTTGCCCTGGCTCTTTAATGAGCAGGCTCCGCCACTGACATTAAGGTGTAGAAATTTGGAGGAGGCTGGGATTTGGGTCACATGCAATTAGGTACCATAGTTCACATCTGCTTGCTACTCTGAACAGGGATGGATCTATATAAGTACATTCACCAGTTAGTATGAGGAAAAATATGTGCATGTTGGTACTGTGGAAGACTGGTTCTGTGGGGTTATATTGCGTTGTTTTGTTCACTGCTGAATGCCGTAATTTTCGTTACCGTGATTTTTCCGTCGATAAGCTGTGGAATTGTGTGTCTTCTTCAGTACGCGTGTAGGTACTGTGGAAGATTGGTATTTGACTATTTTCAGTGTTTGCAGTTAGCTTTACATCAAAGGGTTTTATTGCTAGGTATATAATGTAATATTTTGTTTCATTCTTGTTTAATAGGGGCATAGTGTGCAATGCACTGAGTCATTTATGCGTGAGAATGTTACGGAGGAGCTTAAGCAAATTCAGCCTGAAGATGAATCAAAAAGGAAGATGCTTGATATACTCAGACGGTTCCACTTGGAAGAAGAAATGGAGTCCGATGGTGAAGATGGTATGTTGGTTTAACAAGATTTTGTTTGTTATATGCACGTATGCTTGACAACCATAGAGCATAGTGTATCCCTTGGTTTACGCACAGGCGCTCCTGCAGTCTTCTGCACTTCAGATGTGTATGCATTCTTATTGAGGCTTTCATAGCTGTCAACTATTGCTTCAATGTGTCTGATTATCTCTGTAGTCATATTGAGCTTTCTTGAAGTGTTGTTTTAGGAATTATCTTCTGGTTTTTCAGTCCTGCAAAAGTATGATTTCTGTTTGTGTACCATTTCCTCTCAAAACTGTTAGTAATTGGCATGGAGGCTTATACTGTAGAAGGCACTATAAAAGTGGATCCCTGTGTTTTCAGTTAAGATTTCTAATTGCAGTCTCATTGCTTTGAGATGCTCAGCTGAGCTCTTTTTATTCTCTGTTCGTCTATAGGTGTACAAGTAGCAAACTAGATGATAGATAACAAACAAGATAGTTGACATATGGTACGATTTCTTCTTGGTGCTTATATCTAGTTGTAATAGTTACCGTTGTAGAAAGTATTGCTTACAGGTTGCAATTGCATAAAAATGGTTGAAATTAAGGTTACGGGCAAAAGGTGAACATTACAATTTACAATTTAGTTCGACACAGTTAGTTGGAACTGCCTTTTGTGAAATCATTGTATGCGTCCTTCGGGTGATTATTGATAGACACTGAACTATCTTGTAGATAATTTATCTGTTCTTTTATGCCATCAGTGATTTCACTTTCGCAATGCTGAACATTTTTTTTACCCTGCAGAGTCAATGTTGTCAGAGGAGCTTATTCAGAAAGCCATCTCTGGTATGCTACATTTACTCCTGACCTTTATAATTGTGATAACTCAGTAGCATCTTGTAACACTATGGTAGGTTCTTTAACTAACTTGTTCATGTTGCAGTTTTGTTGTGTGATGTTTAAGTGTAGCTTAGATGTAAATGGCATTAGCCAATCATTTTGTAGCACCTCCCTTTTCCTGCACATTTGTATTTTATTAAGCCTTTGCCGTTCTACATTGGATGTATTGTTGAACCAGCAGATTTCCGCATTGTCCGTCAGGTTCTGCGTTGAGTTCTTATTTGTTCTTTCTACTAAATAGGTGACGAAATCAAGCTTGAGGACCTCTCTGATGATGAAATCAAACGATTTCGTCAAGCTCTGGCCTCTGGTGAACTCAGCAAGATGATTGAACCATGGACTCCATGGTGGAAAAATCCTTCTGCTCAGTCGATCTCTCTTAGTCATGATGGGACCCAGCTTATCAGACAAATAAGTACAGACGATACTACTTTATCAGATCCAATGACCGCGTCAGAATCTATCATCCATGAAATACCAGAAGGGCCAGAATCTCCTCTCCCATCACTCAAACAGCTAACCAGGGCAGAGCCATCTCCTTTGCTCACTGTTCACTTAGTTGATATTCTCTACAGTTACTGCTTCACACTTCGCCTCTACAATGGTGATTGGCAGTCTGATCCTTTGGGTGCTTCAACTGTTGCCTTGTCTATGTCGAAAGTCATGGGGGACGGCGCTAAACCTGAGACAGTATCTGAAGCGCTCACGACGTGCATAGAGGAGACATGCTCCCCAGCTTACAGGCACACCGGAGGTTTCAGGTTTGCTATTGGACTTGTGGATGATATCATCACAATCCTCTCCTTAGGAGGCAATGCAGTGGTTTGTGCATTGTGTGACTTCCACAGGCTCTTCCAAGCTGGTGAGAGCATCCTCAAGGAAGACAAAATGGGCGAGACGGAAAAGGCACGGAGCTTCAAAAAGCTCCATGCCGCGGGTAGGAAGCTGTTCTTCATGACATGCTGGGCTCATGAGCAGCCAAGTGAGGCCTGGCCATCGTTGGCTCGCATCGTTGAGGTGCAGAAAGCGGCTTTTGAGGAGCTGGACAGTGGAAGCGGACTGAGGAAGGCAGGTAGAAAGAACAACCCTCAGTCCAAGGTTCTGATCAACGCAGTACTGCTGGAATAACCACACTGTTTTCTCACCACCCTTTTGGTATCTCTCAGCTGTATCACTTGATCCTTGTGCCTGCTATATCTTTGAGTGCAGTGGCTTAAATGTATAAATTGTCATCTTTGGAAGATGTGATAGTTTACATTTCTGAAGTTCTGATATTAAAGCGACCTGGTTAATCACATTTCCGAGCGAATATTGCTCATATCAACATGCTATCTGTGGCGCTAACTTTCAGTTCCAGCAAAATAAATAACAGTTTCGTAGTAGAGTATTGTGCTAGAAGTATTTTCTGAGCATCTGAGTATCCTTTTTCTCAGGACTAGCTAATTGCCGGTGAGTTGCAACGGGGCATGCATATTTTATTGGTTCAACTCTTATTGAGTGGCTCACCTACTATGTCTGCCCTCATAATCCCAATCCAATCTTATCACCTACGTCAATGGCTCATCGGGTCAAAATCTCCTTCCATTGCCATTAACACACACTTTTCAATTTCAAACACATAATTGTGGAGTTGTGTACATGGAGATTCGGCGAAGGAAAAAAAATCCATACATGAAGGGTCATCAATATCTGCATGACCCAAAATTTGAGACTTAGGAACCTAATCATTGTCTAACAAAAGCAAAATTGGAGAAAATATGAAGTCACGATTGGACCTGAAGATATGGTAGAAACTCCCTGAACAAAAAAACAGATATCGTAGAAATCATTTGTAAAGAAAGTATACCTCTGGAACAATTCATGAGGAATAACAATATTAAGTAAAGTGGTAGTTAAATGCTTGGTTATCCATTTTCCTTCGGTAATATTTTATCAAGGTTCACATTTTACAACATCCTTCTTAAACGCGAGTCTTTGCATAGAACTCGAAGTGCATGTATCCCTAATGGTATTTTGGTGTTGATATAATATGGGCTTAGTGAGGACTAATCTTGTTTATCAAGTTTACCTCACGACATTGGTCTCGGTGCTTGTACGGACATGGCCCCCTAGTTCAACAAGGGGAAAGGCGTCAGTTTGCCAACGACCCGGAAGTTTATCTCGCAGTAGATGAACAGAGATATTATAACCATGCTCTAGAACCAAGAGACCTCACCTTTGGAAGGGCATCACCACGCCATCAACTCGGTCAAGGAGACTCTGGCATCGCGTTGATCATCATCATCATCGCCATCACCAACACTCCACTCATCTCTTTGTATAATACCAATACATAGCATGGATTCCTACAAGTGTTACATTGATCATTTATCTATTATTGCCATGACCACTTTGATGATGCTTGTTGTCTCCGATACGTCTCAAATGATTATATAATTTTTGATTGTTTCATGCTGCTATATTATCACTTATATATACTTATATTATCATTTTACATCATTTAATATTATTTTTCTTGACTAACATATTAATTTAGTGCCCGGTGTCATTTCCTATTCTCTGCTTGTTTTTTGTTTCACAGGAAATCCATATTTAGGAAGGTCCAAACATGATGCCAATTTTTGATGATTTTTTCTAGACCAGAAGGACCCTAGAAGCTTCGGGAGACATCGAGAGGGGCCATGAGCTAGCCACAAGGGCAGGTGGCGCGGCTAGGGGGTGGCCTCGCCACCTAGACTTGTGCCCCCCTAAGCCACGTCTTGACCTAATTCCCCCGCTTATAAATTCCATAATTCTTGAAACCTTCAGAGGGAGACCCGAAAGAATTTTATCGCCGCCGCAAGCCTCTGTTCCGAAGCGATCCCTTCTGGAGCCCTGTTCCGGAGTTCTGCTGAAGGGGAAAGCCATTGGAGGGAGCTTCTTTATCAACCTTGTTGCCTATATGATGATGTCTGAGCAGTTCCTTAGGACCTACAGGTCCATAGTAGTCTCTCTCTCTCTCTC